GACTTGGTTCACTTTACTTCTGACCCACTCATATAGTCACCGATTTTTGATCTCGTCACTTCGAACCAGTTTCTGAAGAAGGTTGCAACATGGCATCCGAAACGTCAAACCTTTTATTAAAAGACGCACGGCAAAACCCGAAAGTTTCTAGTTTTAGTTCTAATTTTAGTTTAAGATTAAGAAGTGTTCAGAATGATATTGGTGGAAGCGTTGTCATTGGCATCTAGACATAGTTAAGACACAAGAAGAAGATGGGATGAATGGATTTAAAAACCTAAAATGTCTAAAAAGCGTACACAGGCATATTATTCCGTCAAGATAATCAAGGTTTATATAAGAGTATATCAATCTTACTGACACTGTATATAAGTTAAACTTAATCTTATTATTTAATTTACCTGTACAATATTCTTCCCCACATTCACTACATGAAACAATTCTTTGTTCTACAACTCCAGATTTATTTTTCGACTTCCTCACCAGACTGTCTTGCGCGAAAATTCTCTTATCCCTTGCAACAGTGCGCATTTCTGCTTTTCCCAATTCAACGATCCTTAAAAATAAATTATTATTAACATTTTTATTACATTAACATAATTTACTTTGAAAAATATTCCTCATCCGATTTAGTTTTTGGTCGTAGCGTTGTCAACATGTGCCAATCGATCGGGATCGAAATAAAATCTTTCAATTTTAACTCTTTCATTTCGGACGGAATCGGATCCATAAACAGATAAGTTTCGTTCATTGCCTTAAAATCTTTTTTGCCAGTTTTAAATTTGAAATCTTTATCGCGTAATTTAACGTCTTCCGAGCGAACTTTTTCCGGTTTTATTTTATACTCGGGTACCTTCTCCATTAATTTTTTAAAATCATCTGCCGATTTGACTACGGATTTGGATAAATCGAGAATTGGGGTCGTCTCTTTTTTCTTTGAGAACAAATCGTCCAATTTCGCCATTTTCCTATTTAATAAGTAAAAATTATTAAAAAAAAACTAATCTATAATTTGATTTAATTTTTTTTTTTTTTTATAATTTAAAACAATTTTTTGGGTTAATTCTCCCAATCTTGTTTTAATGAATAATCGTTTTGTAAAGACGTCGATAACGCTTCGCTACAACTATCCATACTGTTATTATTAATATTATCGGGTAATAATTGATTAGAATCCCCTGGGGTGTTGTGTTCGATTTTTAGGATATCAACAACTTTAAAATGGTCGTTGTATTTTTCGATGGTTTCTCTACATCTACAACAACAATGAAGACACTGTTTATCTTTGTAATAAATTTGATCTTTATCTGATTCTAACGGGATTATTTCCCTTTGAAAAACTCGAATATTTTGGCTAAAAAGTTGTTGGTTATTCCTCCATAAAGCTCTACCGCGGCGTTTTTCCGGATAATTTTTTCTGTAAGTTCTCGGACTATTCGTTTGACTATCATCACTCGATTTCTCATCATAAGTTTTTTCATCGTAAGTCTTTTCGTCGTAATTTTTTTCTTGTCGTTGTTTTTGTCTTAATTTTCTTCTTTGATAAACCAAGTCTTTTTCGCTTTGTTTCAAATATCTCGTTGGTGGGCGATTCACGCCCCATTTAGGGCGCCCTTCAACCATATTTTCACCCCGATTTCCCCTCCTTTCTTTCCTACTCCTATTTGATTCATAATTTCCATCGACACTGTTTAATTTTTCCCTTGTATATTTATTTTCATTTGATATTTTAGTTAGTTCAGAAAGATCCGTTTGCGTGCTACTATCACAAAGTTTTTTATTTCTATATTGGCTTGGAGTTAACAGTCTATTTTCCGTTCTTGAAGTGTTACTTCTATCGGTTGAGACTGTAATAGGTACGGCTATTGGAAGAGTTTGTCCCGGTGTTGTTCCATTAGTTGGCATTAAAACAGCAAATTGCATGTTTTGAAGTGTTTCGTAAGGGGTTTGTAAAACTAAAGCTAAAGCATCACTTTGAGGATTTAATTGTAAAGGAGGAACGGGGGTTTTATCGTTATTAAGTTTTTTATTATTTGAATCGGATTCTTCTTCTTCGTTAATAATATTAACTTCGTTTTTATTTTTTAAGAAATTCTTTTTTTCTGAAATATTATTTTTGTTACTTTTTGTGTCATCAATTTTAATTTTTTCGTTTATATTATTCTTAATTTTTTCATTATCCTCATTTTCCTCTTTTAAAACATTTTCTTTATCGATGTTTTGATTTTTCCTCGGCGATTTTTCACTATCTTTTTCAATAACATTCTCTTTCATATTAATATTATTCATGTTTTTTTGCTTCAACAGCTTCAATTTACTTTTTTCTTGAATGGCTTGTTTTTCCGCTATTTCAATAGCTTCTTTTAACGCTTCTTTTCGTTTCTTTTCCCGTTCAAGTTTTTCCTTTAATAATTGATCTTCTCTTTCCTTCCTTTGCCTTTCAATATCTTTTTCGCGCTTTATCCTTTGTTCCTCTTCAAATTCCTCCTTTCGAAGTCTTTCTCTTTCCTCTTTTTTGCGACGATCTCGTTCTTCTAATTGCTCTCTTATAGCTTCTTGGTGTGCCAAAGCGATTTGTCTACGTCGTTCTCTTTCCGCTAACTCTACAGGTTCAACTGGAATATTTTGACCTCGAATATAACAGCTGCAAAAGAATGAATAATAAAATAATTTCCTTTATTGATCGTTAAGTTAAGTTGAAGGATTTATTGATTTAGTTACCGAATTTGTGAGGCGGTTGAACTAGTACAAGGTCTTTGTCGATCTAAATAATCTTGCTCTGGGGATTCCGCCGGTGAAGAATTCGCAACCTCCAACTGAGTATTTCCTTCTAATCCCCTTCTTACCCACCCAGGAGTTCCCGCTTTGTTCAAATTATCCTTTGGCTCCCAATACTTCGCAACATGAACTCCTCTATCGCCCCATTTAGCACGATCTTCTCTTGCACTTGAAGAAGATTCATAACCGAGAGAATTTTCCCAATTATTCGATTCATAATGTTCTGGGGTTGTATTAACATTATCGCTTCCATAACCGGAAGTTTCACCCCCCATTTCTCTTTCAGCGAGCTTTTCAATTGAGGTAAAACTGGAACTTTGGCTTTTATATAAAGGTGGTAAGCTTTGTCTTCTTGGTACCGGCGTTGATTGAAGATTAGAAACATTTTTGGACCTAAAAAGTTTTCAAAAAACACCCAACAATAAATTATTTCGTTTAATTATACCTTGCAGTAAAGGAATCTCTGCTAAACGCAGCGTTTAATTCTGCGAGTTCTTCTAAAACAAAAGGAACTGATTTTTTAAGTAAAAAAAATTGTTTTAATATAATTTATCACCTCTTTCTCTCGCCCATTGGAGCTTTTTTCTTTCCACCAGCGATAAGCGTTTTTCGGTATACATTGAGACATCAGTTCAAATTTAAATAAAGTTATGAGTCACGCAAACTCAAAGAAAAAAATTAAATTAAAATTAAATTATTACCTTTAACAAACAAAGAATCTTTATTTAATTTAAACGTTATTAATAAAAAAAGCTTTCGCGTGTGCTTTTAACGAAACTTTCAGACCAACTGTTGTCTATCAAGCGTTTTATGCAGTAAAAGCGCCATCCGGTATTTGATCAATGAAAGGTGTTACGTTGCCGTAGCGACGTCGTTTTCAAACATTTTCAGGTGAACGTCCTGTAACGGGTTTTCATGGTTCTTTTGCAAGGATCGTTTCACCCCTTATTATGTCGTTTTCAACATTTTCGGTGTCGTAATCTTTTGTTACTAAAGTAACCCAGTGTAACACTTTCACAAAATGACGAAAAAATGTGATAATAAAGTGAGGAAATTGTTCTATGTCAATAAATCTAGTTTCTATTCATAAATATACATTATGTTTAATTTCTGATTCCTCAACGATTAAGAATCACAATATTGATAAGTTTATCATCACATATTGACATGAACTTTGATGAATCCTTCCATGAACCCCTCAGATATAGACTGTTTGAATTGACCCAAGATAATCGTAAGTGGCTCATTTCGATGCTAAGAACTGTTATAACTGTTCCTCTGCTTCTTTGCTCCTCTGTTCCTAGTAATATAGTATAAAAATAAAATAGCACAAAACTAAAACTGATGGAGGAAGACCTTATGAATAAGAAATATTCCTAATGCACCGAGATATCATAATCCATACTTATTTCATGTTTATCTTTCACCATTTTCTAGTGATATAGCCATAAATCACAAAATGTCAAAATTGGGCGATTTTTCTTAATAAAATTAACTGTAACGTAAGAACTAACACATATAAAGTAAGACGTTATGAATAAAAAATAATCCTAATGCATCGAGAGATCATAATCAATACTTATTTCATATTTATCTTTCACCAGTTTCTAGGGATATAAACATAAATCACAAAATCCAAAATTGGACGATTTTTCTTAATAAAATTAACTATAACGTAAGATCTAAAACTGATGGAGTAAGACGTTATGAATAAAAAATATTCGTAATTCATCGAGAGATCATAATCCATACTTATTTCATATTTATCTTTCACCAGTTTCTAGTGATATAGCCATAAATCACAAAATGTCAAAGTTGGACGATTTTTCTTAATAAAATTAACTATAACGTAAGAACTAAAACTGATGGAGTAAGACGTTACGAATAAAAAATATTCGTAATGCACCGAGAAATTATAATCTATACTTAGTTCATGTTTATCTTTCACCGTTTTCTAGTGATATAGCCATAAATCACTAAATGTCAAAATTGGACGATTTTTCTTAATAAAATTATAACGTAAGAACTAAAACTGATGGAGTAAGACGTTATGAATAAAAAATATTCGTAATGCACCGAGAAATCATAATCTATACTTAGTTCATGTTTATCTTTCACCATTTTCTAGTGATATAGCCATAAATCACAAAATGTCAAAATTGGACGATTTTTCTTAATAAAATTATCTATAACGTAAGAATTAACGTTGATTTAGTAAGACGTTATGAATAAAAAATAATCCTAATGCATCGAGAGATCATAATCCATACTTATTTCATGTTTATCTTTCACCAGTTTCTAATGATATAGCCATAAATCACAAAATGTCAAAATTGGACGATTTTTCTTAATACAATTATCTATAACATAAGAACTAAAACGGAGGGAATAAGACGTTATGAATAAAAAATATTCCTAATGCACCGAGAAATCATAATCCATACTTATTTCATATTTATCTATCACCAGTTTTTAATGATATAGTGCGACTTTTCTTAATAAAAATCAATTATAAGGTAAGCACTAAAACTGATACAGGAAATCGTTGTGCATAAAATATATTCCTAATGCATTAGATGCAGTATATCTTCAGACAAACGGCTAAACTCGAAACTTTCTAGTTCTAGGTCTAGTGTTAGTTCTAGTTTTACACTAGCACTGTTACTATGTAGAACTATCACTACACCCAGAACTAGAATCATTGGGATTTAGCCGCACGTCTCTAAAGACGGCTAAACCCGAATGTTTCTAGTTCTAGTGCTAGTTCTAGTACTAGTGTTAGCCTAGTTTTATTTGTTATTCACCGCTAAATTGTAGTATATTTTTATTGAGCTATAACGGACACGTTGATTGTATGTAATTTTTTTATAATAACTATTGAAAACGAGGCAGGGTTTTTTAAACAATTTTTCTTAAGTTTAATGTTTATTTTTATTAATAAATAATATCATCACAATCCCATAAACTGACAAATTCTATAATATTTTCTTCGTGACTTCATTTGATCTAAACAACCATATAAATCATTCAATTTCAAACAGTCGCCTTTAGACATAGCCGTTCTTTGACCAATTTTAACACCGTCACTCATCGTTGGAGTTAATGTGGGTTTTCCTTTTTTATTACTAAAGTAGTATCTACCATAATGCATTATGGAGTTGTAATCATATTCGAAACTGTACGTGGTATTTTCTAAACTTTGTTTATCAAAGTTTCCTTTAAATTCTAATTGAAAATTAAAAAAATTTATTATTATTAACAAAATGTATTAAATTAACCTCTTACTTGATATAATATTAGTATCATGTACTTTAACGAATTTATCTCGATCCCACCTGGATTGTTCGTGAAAAATTCCTAAAGCGTGTAACAATTCGTGAATAGGCCTTCCCTCTGAACCCAAACAATTTAAGCTATTTTGATCGGGGGGTTGAAGACTTAAAATTTGAGCACCACCAAATCTTCCAACAAAAGACCAACAACCTCTGGGATATTGAATCGGCCAAATCAATAAATAATCTTTCGATTTTCCATTCCACGGTACAAATTTAACGCAGGACATGTAATTTATTGTTTTTAAAGCTTTATAAATTGTTACGTAATCAGATGGATCTACAAGAAAAGCTTTCAAATTTTTTTAATCAAAATAAACTTAAACGTACCATACAAAGGACTTATAACGTACGGTACGATTCCATTTCTCCATAATTTATCCGGAAACGTATCCCAATTAAGACCAACTCTCCATTGACTATAAATCTCATTTGTCATTGCCATATCACCTTGAAATAGCCCGGGAGTTACTTCCGGATCTTGATCGTCCATGTCATCTTCATCAGTTATTGTTATATTTTGTGAAGCTAATTTTAAATTAATAAATGAATTAATATGATAAAGAAAGTAAATACCTTCATCTGGAATTGGTGGATACATTACTTCTGGTACTTCAGGAAGTATATATCTACACTGACACAAATATATCACAAAAAATATAATAAATGCACACGTTTGGAATATCCAAGTAAAACGCTGCATATTGAACGGTGTTGGAGGTTCAAGTTCAAGAACTACAGCTGATAGTCAATTGGTTTAGTAATCGGTTGCGGTTCGTTTATAGGTGGGACAGAAGGCGAAGGAAAAGAGATGAAGAAGTAACATTGTCTGTGATTACTTATACACATTTAAATGGTTAACGTGAAAGCATCGCATGAACAGTTTTTTTGACTAAGAAGAAATTATTTTACTTCTTTTCATTCAAAATGCTTTCTCCCCACATCTCCACAAACGCAAATAAATGTACATTAAGATTTTCCTACAAACCTAAGTTTATCTGTTAAATCTTTTATCGACTTTTCTTTTTTCTTTAAGTCTGAACAACTTTGTCCATGGGTAATCGAATATCGAGGTCAGTCGGTGCGCACGTTCCACCTCATGGAATGTTTTATCGAACGACGGTTTCGGTTTCTGAAAGGGAAACTTCGAGGAAAGTCGTTTGCCATAATTTATACAGGCAGTAGCGACGAAATCGATCGGTTTTATTCTTAATTACGGTACCTCTTTTATGCTTTTTTTGGGCATGCTCTATATTTTCGTTTTAAAAGTAGGTCCATGTAATTTAATTTTTTTTTTGATACATTTCTCCTCTTCTACGATATAAGAAGTTTAATGAGATCAAGATTAAAAAATTTTAATTTTATTGATAAATCAATCACTTTTTTCTATAAAAAATTAAATGAGTGTTAAATTACTGTTTTCACCTTATATTAATAAATTTGTTTCTTAACAATTTGACTGTAACCTTAATTTATCTTGTATCATCGCAAATATCTAAATATTTCAGATATACTGGATCTAATGCAATGATGTATTAGGAATATTTTTGTATTCACAACGTTTTTCTAAAATAGTTTTAGTACTTATCTTATAATTGATTTTATTAAGAAAAATGAATATGAAATAATTCTGGATTATGGTTTATTGATGCATTAGAAATGTTTTTTATTCATAACGTTTTTCTGCATCAGTTCTAGTACTTACGTTATAGTTCATTTTATTAAGAAAAATCTCAAATTTAGACATTTTAGGGATTTATGCTAATCATTAGAAACTGGTAATAGATAAATATGAAATAACTTTAGATTATGATTTATTGATGCATTAGAAATATTTTTTATTAATAACGTCTTTCGCCATCAGTAACGTAAGTACTACGTTATAAGTTATAGTTAATTTTATTAAGAAAAATCGTCCAATTTTGACATTTTGTGATTTATGGCTATATCACTAGAAACTGGTGAAATATAAATATGAAGTAAGTATCGATTATGATCTCTCGATGCATTATGAATATTTTTTATTCATAACGTCTTACTCCATCAGTTTTAGTTCTTCCGTTATAGTTAGTTTTATTAAGAAAAATAGTCCAATTTTGACATTTTGTGATTTATGGCTATATCACTAGAAAATGGTGAAAGATAAACATGAAATAAGTATGGATTATGATTTCTCGGTGGATTAGGAATATTTTTTATTCATAACGTATTACTCCATCAGTTTTACTTCTTCCGTTATAGTTAATTTTATTAAGAAAAATCGTCCAATTTTGACATTTTGTGATTTATGTCTAGTGATAAGAAACTGGTGAAACATAAATATAAAATAAGTATGGATTATGATCTGTCGACGCATTCGGATTATTTTTTATTCATAGCGTCTTACTCCATCAGTTTTAGTTCTTCCGTTATAGTTAATTTTATTAAGAAAAATCGTCCAATTTTGACGTTCTGTGATTTATGGCTATATCACTAGAAAATGGTGAAAGATAAACATGAAATAAGTATGGATTATGATTTCTCGGTGCATTAGGAATATTTTTTATTCATAACGTCTTACTCCATCAGTTTTAGTTCTTACGTTATAGTTAATTTTATTAAGAAAAATCGTCCAATTTTGACATTTTGTGATTTATGGCTATATCACTAGAAACTGGTGAAAGATAAACATGAAATAAGTATGGATTATGATCTCTCGATGCATTAGGATTATTTTTTATTCATAACGTCTTACTCCATCAGTTTTAGTTCTTACGTTATAGTTAATTTTATTAAGAAAAATCGTCCAATTTTGACATTTTGTGATTTATGGCTTTGTCACTAGAGAATAGTGAAAAATAAACATGAAATAAGTATGGATTATGATTTCTCGGTGCATTAGGATTATTTTTTATTCATAACGTCTTACTCCATCAGTTTTAGTTCTTACGTTATAGTTAATTTTATTAAGAAAAATCGTCCAAGTTTGACATTTTGTGATTTATGGCTATATTACTACAAAATGGTGAAAGCTAAAAATGAAATAAGTATTGATTATGATTTCTCGGTGCATTAGGAATATTTTTTATTCATAACGTCTTACTCCATCAGTTTTAGTTCTTACGTTATAGTCAATTTTGTTAAGAAAAATTGTCCAATTTTGACATTTTGTGATTTATAGCTATGTCACTAGAGAATAGTGAAAAATAAACATGAAATAAGTATGGCGTATGATTTCTCGGTGCATTAGGATTATTTTTTATTCATAACGTCTTACTCCATCAGTTTTAGTTCTTCCGTTATAGTTAATTTTATTAAGAAAAATTGTCCAATTTTGACGTTCTGTGATTTATGGCTATATCACTAGAAAATGGTGTAAGATAAACATGAAATAAGTAGGGATTATGATTTCTCGGTGGATTAGAAATATTTTTTATTCATAACGTCTTACTCCATCAGTTTTAGTTCTTCCGTTATAGTTAATTTTATTAAGAAAAATGGTCCAATTTTGAGATTTTGTGATTTATGGCTATATCACTAGAAACTGGTGAAAGATAAATATGAAATAAGTATGGATTATGATTTCTCGGTGGATTAGGAATATTTTTAATGCATAACGTCTTACTCCATAAATTTTAGTTCTTACGTTATAGTTAATTTTATTAAGAAAAATTGTCCAATTTTGACATTTTGTGATTTATGGCTATATCACTAGAAACTGGTGAAAGATAAATATGAAATAAGTACGGATTATGATTTCTCGGTGGATTGGGAATATTTTTTATTCATAACGTTTTTCTCCATCAGTTTTAGTTCTTACGTTATAATTAATTTTATTAAGAAAAATCGTCCAACTTTGACATTTTGTGATCTATGGCTATATCACTAGAAACTGGTGAAAGATAAATATGAAATAAGTATGGATTACGATCTAAATCGTCCAATTTTGACGTTCTGTGATTTATGGCTATATCACTAGAAAATGGTGAAAGATAAACATGAAATAAGTATGGATTATGATCTGTCGACGCATTCGGATTATTTTTTATTCATAGCGTCTTACTCCATCAGTTTTAGTTCTTCCGTTATAGTTAATTTTATTAAGAAAAATCGTCCAATTTTGACGTTCTGTGATTTATGGCTATATCACTAGAAAATGGTGTAAGATAAACATGAAATAAGTATGGATTATGATTTCTCGGTGGATTAGGAATATTTTTTATTCATAACGTCTTACTCCATCAGTTTTAGTTCTTACGTTATAGTTAATTTTATTAAGAAAAATCGTCCAATTTTGACATTTTGTGATTTATGGCTATATCACTAGAAAATGGTGAAAGATAAATATGAAATAAGTATAGATTATGATTTCTCGGTGCATTAGGAATATTTTTTATTTATAATGTCTTACTCCATCAGTTTTAGTTCTTCCGTTATAGTTAATTTTATTACGAAAAATCGTCCAATTTCGCCATTTTGTGATTTATGGCTATATCATTAGAAAATGGTGAAAGATAAACATGAAATAAGTATGGATTATGATTTCTAGGTGCATTAGCAATATTTTTTATTCATAACGTCTTACTCCATCAGTTCTAGTTCTTACGTTGTAGTTAATTTTATTAAGAAAAATCGTCTAATTTTGACATTTTGTGATTTATGGCTATATCACTAGAAACTGGTGAAAGATAAATATGAGATAAGTATGGATTATGATATCTCGATGCATTACGATTATTTTTTATTCATAACGTCTTACTCAATCAGTTTTAGTTCTTCCGTTATAGTTAATTTTATTACGAAAAATCGTCCAATTTTGACATTTTGTGATTTATGGCTATATCACTACAAAATGGTGAAAGATAAACATGAAATAAGTATGGATTATGATTTCTCGGTGCATTAGGAATATTTTTTATTCATAATGTCTTACTCCATCAGTTTTAGTTCTTACGTTATAATTTTATTAGGAAAAATCGTCCAATTTTGACATTTTATGATTTATGGCTATATCACTAAAAACTGGTGAAAGATAAATATGAAATAAGTATAGATTATGATCTCTCGATGTATTAGCATTATTTTTTATTCATAACGTCTTACTCCATCAATTTTATGTCTTCCGTTGTAGTAAATTTTATTAAGAAAAATCGTCCAATTTTGACATTTTGTGATTTATGGCTTTATCGCTAGAAACAGGTGAAAGATAAATATGAAATAAGTATAGATTATGATTTCTCGGTGCATTAGGAATATTTTTTATTCATAATGTCTTACTCCATCAGTTTTAGTTCTTCCGTTATAGTTAATTTTATTAAGAAAAATCGTCCAATTTTGACATTTTGTGATTTATGGATATATCACTAGAAAATGGTGAAAGATAAACATGAAATAAGTATAGATTATGATCTCTCGGTGCATTAGGAATATTTTTTATTCATAACTTCTTACTCCATCAGTTTTAGTTCTTACGTTATGGTTAATTTTATTAAGAAAAATCGTTCAATTTTGACATTTTGTGATTTATGGCTCGTTTTTAAAAGTTATCTCAAAACTTTTATCATAGAATATTCAAGATTTAGTACCATCTTATTAAGATTTATACAGTTAATATATTTTTTTTAATTTTATAAACAAATTACATACAATTAACATCACTTATTGATAATTCCTCAAGATGATAAACGTTTTCTTTAAAAACATTCATCGGAATCTCATAGCATCGTCCAGGCCACGTTTTATCTAAAAAATAATATTAAAAAAAAAACTTTTTTTTAATAAAATCTTCCAATAACATAAATTAACAAACCTTCCATCAAAAACGGTATCTTGTTAAAAATGTCTAAATAAATCCGAAGTGGTTTAGTACAATCAGACTGAATTAAAAACTTTAATTCCTTAACTTGCGGCAACAAATTAAAGTCAATTGATATTTTTGCGTGACTTGCAGTTAAACTGGGGAAATGTCTTAATCGTTGTTTCGACGCTTTCATTACTGCTTTGCTTTCTTCCTAAAACCACACCCAACTTTTTATTACACGCGTAAATGCAAATATAAATGAATGCCATCTTTTTATTTGCAACCTAAATCGACGGAAATTAACACCACTTTGCTATTTCTAAACGTTTTCTTTGTCCTCAATACCTATATTGAATCTACGTACTCAAATTTCTATTTTCATAAACAAATTTAAATTTTTAAAATAATTTTACGTACCACCTTTCCTTTTAAACTATTTCCTATCGCGTACAGCTTTTCAATTAACATCTTAATTTTTGAAGATGTTTCTTTTAAATTAAATTTTTCGATTATTTTAATTTCATCGTGGTTACTTTCTTTGTCAACTTTTATTGGTACCCATTCGTCGATAAATCTTTGATTCATGTGATGATAAATTATTAACAGCTTAAATTGATCAAAACATGATTTAAAGATTTCGTTTTCATTCAATAACCGAAGATGACGTACAAAAGATTCCTCAGAAGCCTATAATTTTTTTCGTAATTCAACACAAAATGAAAACAAAGAAATAATTATACCTCTAAAACGTGACAGAAATAATTCCCAAGTTGCAATAAAAATCCTGTAATTGGTTCGTCATTGTATCTATCGTTAATTGGTTTAATGGATTTCTCAAAGTTTTCGATTATCGTCGCTGAATCAATAGAATTTGGAATTTCTCCAACGTATATAAATCGGTGTAAAAAAATGTTCTAAAATTGGAATTTATAAATATAATTTTTTGAGTGCATGGATATAATTTAATACTTACGCGATCGAGATATCTGAAATTACGCTGTAATATATGTAAAAGAGAAGTTTTTTCAGGAATTTTACGAGTATTACTGTGACGAGACATTTTTGATGTTTGATCAATAATTTTATATAATGAAAGAATATCTATACATATAGGTAATCATCAAAATGTTCCCAATCACACATTTTTGTATTTTTATCTTTCAATTTTGGCCCAGCGACTTTTTCACAAAAATGAAGTGGATTTAATTCGGTACAAAATAAAGATTGCATAATCTTTCAGTGACTCATTCTTCGATCGGTTACCTAAAATCGCTTTGATTCTTCTACTTCTTATTACAGCAATGAAATCGACCAAAATAACAGAATGCTATTTATAAATAATAACGATAAACTTTAGTGGGTTATACCTTTGATTATATATAGTACTCAAAGGTTATACGATGCAATATTCTAGCATAGTTTTTAAGGTTCCAGATAAATGCTAATATGCGACATGTTTAAAGAATCTTATAAAACGCAAACGACATACATATGAAGACTACATATCATTTTAAAGCGTCATTAAGAACATATTACAGAAATTATCACGTAATGGGATTTATTAATAAAAACAAAAATTAACTTAAGAAAAATAATACTTACCTCAAAACTATTATCATCGAATGTTTTTAATGTTTTTCAATTTTAATTATTATTTTTTTCCTTAGCATTTTTATGATCTATGATATTTAATATTACAATCTTAAAGAGGTGTACTGGACACATGAGTTGTTATTCATTTTATTATTGAAAAATTAAATAACAATACGTGTTGGAGTCGAGTACATTTACCTTAGTATTTTAGATAAGTCAGCAATATTAGGAAGGAGAATAGAATAGAATAAGTCGTCGATGCGTTAACACGAAAATGTTAGTTATAAGTATTATTAAATAAACGCAGTTATATAAAATCCAAAAAAGCCTTTTTCTCCTCTCTCGAGGAATCTGGCATCATAAATAAGTTGATCATTACAGAGGGAAGTTTCAGGTTTAATTTAACGTATAAATCGTTTCCAAACTCCTAAAAATAAGGTCAAGGCAATGTTTTGAAAATCTTGAATTTTTTTATTAATTTTAGAATAAGTTAAAAATTGACGTTATAATTTTTAATTTTTTACTTGGAATTTTTATGACCTATAGCATTTAATGTTATATATCTTCTTAAAGAGGAAGATTTCAGCTTCAATTTAAGGTATGAATCGTTTTCTAACTCCTTAAAACAAGGTCAAGGCAATGTTTTGAAAATCTTCAATTTTTATTAATTTTAGGTTAAATTAAAAATTGACGTTTTAGTTTTTAATTTTTTACTCGGAATTTTTATAATCTATAGTATTTAATGTTATACACCGTCTTAAAGAGAAAGATTTCAGCTTCAATTTAAGGTATAAACCGTTTCCTAACTTCTAAAAGTAAGATTAAGGCGATGTTTTGAAAATCTTCAATTTTTATTAATTTTAGAATAAGTTAAAAATTGACGTTTTAGTTTTTAATTGTTTATTTGGAATTTTTATAACCTATAGCATTTAATGTTATAGATCGTCTTAAAGAGGAAGATTTCAGCTTTAATTTAACGTATAAATCGTTTCCAAACTCCTAAAAATAAGGTCAAAGCGATGTTTTGAAAATCTTCAATTTTTAATTAATTTTAGAATAAGTTAAAAATTGCCGTTTTAGTTTTTAATTTTTTACTCGGAATTTTTATAATCTATAGCATTTACTGTTATATATCGTCTTAAAGAGGAAGATTTCAGCTTCAATTTAAGGTATAAATCGTTTACTAACTCCTAAAAATAAGGCCAAGGCGATGTTTTGAAAATCTTCAATTTTGTATTAATTTTAGAATAAGTTAAAAATTGACGTTTTAGTTTTTAATTTTTTACTCGGAATTTTGATAACCTATAGCATTTAATGTTATATAACGTCTTAAAGAGGAAGATTTCAGCTTCAATTTAAGGTATAAACCGTTTTCTAACTCCTAAAAGTAAGATCAAGGCGATGTTTTGAAAATCTTCTATTTTTATTAATTTTAGGTTAAGTTAAAAATTGACGTTTAAGTTTTTAATTTTTTACTACGAATTTTTATAACCTATAGCATTTAATGTTATATATCGTCTTAAAGAGGAAGATTTCAGCTTTAATTTAACGTATAAATCGTTTCCAAACTCCTAAAAATAAGGTCAAGGCGATATTTTGAAAATCTTCAATTTTTTATTAATTTTAGAATAAGTTAAAAATTGACGTTTTAGTTTTTAATTTTTTACTCGGAATTTTTATAACCTATAGCATTTAATGTTATATACCGTCTTAAAGAGGAAGATTTCAGCTTCAATTTAAGGTATAAATCGTTTTCTAACTCCTAAAAATAAGGTCAACGCGATGTTTTGAAAATCTTCAATTTTTATTAATTTTAGATTAAATTAAAAATTGACGTTTTAGTTTTTAATTTTTTACTCGGAATTTGTATAACCTATAGCATTTAATGTTATATACCGTCTTAAAGAGGAAGATTTCAGCTTCAATTTAAGCTAGAAATCGTTTTCTAGCTGCTAAAGATAAGGTCAAGGCGATGTTTTGAAAATCTTCAATTTTTATTAATTTTAAAATAAATTAAAAATTGACGTTTTAGTTTTTAATTTTTTACTCGGAATTTTTATAATCTATAGCATTTAATGTTATATACCGTCTTAAAAAGGAAGATTTCAGCTTCAATTTAAGGTATAAACTGTTTTCTAACTCCTAAAAATAAGGTCAAGGCGATGTTTTGAAAATCTTCTATATTTATTAATTTTAGGTTAAGTTAAAAATTGACGTTTTAGTTTTTAATTTTTTACTCGGAATTTTTATAATCTATAGCATTTAACGTTTTATACCGTCTTAAAGATGAAGATTTCAGCTTCAATTTAAGGTATAAACCGTTTTCTAACTCCTAAAAGTAAGATCAAGGCGATGTTTTGAAAATTTTCTATTTTTATTAATTTTAGGTTAAGTTAAAAATTGACGTTTTAGTTTTGAATTTTTATAACCTATAGCATTTAATGTTATATAACGTCTTAAAGAGGAAGATTTCAGCTTAAATTTAAGATATAAACCGTTTTCTAACTCCTAAAAGTAAGATCAAGGCGAGGTTTTGAAAATCTTCTATTTTTAGTAATTTTAGGTTAAGTTAAAAATTGACGATTTAGTTTTTAATTTTTTACTCGAAATTTTTATAACCTATAGCATTTAATGTTATATAACGTCTTAAAGAGGAAGATTTCAGCTTCAATTTGAGGTATAAACCGTTTTCTAACTCCTAAAAGTAAGATCAAGGCGATGTTTTGAAAATCTTATATTTTTATTAATTTTAGGTTACATTAAAAATTGACGTTTTAGTTTTTAATTTTTTACTCGGAATTTTTATAACCTATAGCATTTAATGTTATAGATCATCTTAAAGAGGAAGATTTCAGCTTTAATTTAACGTATAAATCGTTTCGAAATTCCTAAAAATAAGGTCAAGGCGATGTTTTGAAAATCTTCAATTTTTTATTAATTTTAGGTTAAGTTAAAAATTGACGTTTTAGTTTTTAATTTTTACCCGAAATTTTTATAACCTATAGCATTTAATGTTATATAACGTCTTAAAGAGGAAGATTTCAGCTTCAATTTAAGGTATAAATCGTTTACTAACTCCTAAAAATAAGGCCAAGGCGATGTTTTCAAAATCTTCAATTTTTTATTAATTTTAGAATAAGTTAAAAATTGACGTTTTAGTTTTTAATTTTTTACTCGGAATTTTTATAATCTATAGCATTTAATGTTATATACCGTCTTAAAGAGGAAGATTTCAGCTTCAATTTAAGGTATAAACCGTTTTCTAACTCCTAAAAGTAAGATTAAGGCGATGTTTTGAAAATCTTCAATTTTTTATTAATTTTAGAATAAGTTAAAAATTGACGTTTTAGTTTTTAATTTTTTACTAGGAATTTTTATAACCTATAGCATTTAATGTTATATACCGTCTTAAAGAGGAGGATTTCAGCTTCAATTTAAGGTATAAATTGTTTTCTAACTCCTAAAGATAAAGTCAAGGCGATGTTTTGAAAATCTTCTATATTTATTAATTTTAGGTTAAGTTAAAAATTGACGTTTTAGTTTTTAATTTTTTACTACGAATTTTTATAACCTATAGCATTTAATGTTATATACCGTCTTAAAGAGGAAGATTTCAGGTTCAATTTAAGGTATAAATCGTTTTCTAAATCCTTAAAACAAGGTCAAGGCAATGTTTTGAAAATCTTCAATTTTTATTAATTTTAGGTTAAATTAAAAATTGACGTTTTAGTTTTTAATTTTTTACTCGGAATTTTTATAATCTATAGTATTTAATGTTATACACCGTCTTAAAGAGAAAGATTTCAGCTTCAATTTAAGGTATAAACCGTTTCCTAACTTCTAAAAGTAAGATTAAGGCGATGTTTTGAAAATCTTCAATTTTTATTAATTTTAGAATAAGTTAAAAATTGACGTTTTAGTTTTTAATTGTTTATTTGGAATTTTTATAACCTATAGCATTTAATGTTATAGATCGTCTTAAAGAGGAAGATTTCAGCTTTAATTTAACGTATAAATCGTTTCCAAACTCCTAAAAATAAGGTCAAAGCGATGTTTTGAAAATCTTCAATTTTTAATTAATTTTAGAATAAGTTAAAAATTGCCGTTTTAGTTTTTAATTTTTTACTCGGAATTTTTATAATCTATAGCATTTACTGTTATATATCGTCTTAAAGAGGAAGATTTCAGCTTCAATTTAAGGTATAAATCGTTTACTAACTCCTAAAAATAAGGCCAAGGCGATGTTTTGAAAATCTTCAATTTTGTATTAATTTTAGAATAAGTTAAAAATTGACGTTTTAGTTTTTAATTTTTTACTCGGAATTTTGATAACCTATAGCATTTAATGTTATATAACGTCTTAAAGAGGAAGATTTCAGCTTCAATTTAAGGTATAAATCGTTTTCTAACTCCTAAAAATAAGGTCAAGGCGATGTTTTGAAAATCTTCAATTTTTATTAATTTTAGGTTAAATTAAAAATTGTCATTTTAGTTTTTAATTTTTTACTCGGAATTTTTATAACCTATAGCATTTAATGTTATATAACGTCTTAAAGAGGAAGATTTCAGCTTCAATTTAAGGTATAAATCGTTTTCTAACTCCTAAAGATAAGGTCAAGGCGATGTTTTGAAAATCTTCAATTTTTATTAATTTTAGGTTAAATTAAAAATTGACGTTTTAGTTTTTAATTTTTTACTCGAAATTTTTATAACCTATAGCATTTAACGTTTTATACCGTCTTAAAGAGAAAGCTTTCCGCTTCAATTTAAGGTATAAATCGTTTTCTAACTCCTAAAAATAAAGTCAAGGCGATGTTTTGAAAATCTTCTATTTTTATTAATTTTAGAATAAGTTAAAAATTGATGTTTTAATTTTTGAATCGGAATTTTTATAACCTATAGCATTTAATGTTATGCATATGTTAATGCAACTAGAAACATAGAATCGTGCGTCTTCAAACGCATGGCTAAACCCGAAACCATCCAAGGTATAAATCCTAAAAAGAACTCTTAAAAATAAGATCAAGGCAATGTTTTGAAAATCTTCAATTTTTATTAATTTTAGGTTAAGTTGTTAATTTTTTACTCAACATTATTACGTTATACAGTGTGTCCGTAATGTAACGGATATAGGCGATAAAATCATTATAGATTTAAATTTTTTGCAATTGTTTGGTGTAGATTTTAAATTTCTTCCGCCATTTTTAAGCGAGTTATGACGTCATCGGTATTTTTTCAAATGGCAATCCCCCATTTTTATTACGGAATATGACAGACTTTTTTTTGAATCTAATACAGTCAATATTAATATTGCTTACATAAGAAAATTTTCCAGAAAAATTACTTTAAAGTTTAACTATTTCAGATTTGTTGACATGATGAAAATAGCAGTAGCCATGAGTAACTATGGTAACCAATTATTTTAAACAATTTCCTAAGTGTCAAAAACTGATTTTGTAAGTAGTTGACCTCTTTAATACAACATATCCTGATCGCCAACTCATTAGCCAAAGTATGGTGAGCCTAGCTGTGACTAAATTTAAACAGCATGGCCATCTCTCGAAGCATTTCTCGAAGTCTGGCCTACTAAATGTTGCAAGGGAAGTTCAACAAATCGCGGTTTTGGCTGGGCAAGAAAACCCTCATGTTACTGTAAGGAGTATTGTGTCTAATTTCGACATTAGTAAATTAACGGTTCATAAAATTTTAAAACCCGCAAAATATCATTCCCATAAAGTAAACCTGATTCACGAGCAATGAATCGTAGTTTTTGCAACGATGACGAAGACTTTGTCAAAAACATAATTTTTTCGACGAAGGGACATTTACATAAAGACAAGTAAATAGACAAAGTTGTCGGTATTGCGCTACCCAAAATCCAAATTAGCGAAGAAAGTCGCACACCTAATATCCGCAAAAGATTTGACTAAACCTTAAGTGGAAAAAGATGTTTAAATTTTTTCAAAGCGATGTCATTCCTACCATCCCGATGTTGACACAACTCAATTCCAACGGCAGTTATTCCAACTAAAGTTCCTAGATTTACAAAGTACCGCGGTTTGACGCCATTTTGGCTCGAAAGTCAAGCGGGAAATATAAAAAAATAAGTGGTGAGATGCAGTGATAAGCTGTCAGACCCAGTCAAACCGCCATTTTGGCTCGAAAACAGGCTTCTTGAACCGCGGTACTTTGTAAATCTAGGGACTTTAATTCCAACAATAAAGCGCGCCACCACACTTCAAAAAGCATTACTAAATCAGTTTTTGACACTCAGGGAATTGTTTAGAATAATTGGATACCATAGTTACTCATGGCTACTACTATTTTTATCATTATACAAATTTGAAGTAATTAAACTTTAAAGTAATTTTTCTCGAAAATTTTCTTATGTAACCAATATTAATATTGGCTGTACTAGATTCAGAAAAAAATCCTCTTTCATATTCCGCAATAAAAATAGGGGATTGCCATTTAAAAAAAACATCGATGACGCCATAACTCGTTTAAAAATGGCAGAAAAACTATGAAAAAATTTAAATCTTTAGACCCGTTTCAGGAATTTTTCCATAAACCGTTTATTATGATTTTATCGCCTATATCCGTTACTTTACGGACAATTGTATAATATTGTATATCACCTTAACGATGAAAATTTTAGTTTTAATTTAAGGTAAAAATTGTTTAATTCACAAAAATAAGGCTAACAACATTTTTAGGTTTCTTAGGTATTAATAACAACAAAAAGAAAAATCAGTATCAATAGAATTTATTTCATATAGTTTCTGTGTTTTACAATACATATAATAAATTTGAAAAAATTTATGAAGACATGTTTGCCAAGTAAAATAAATAATATTTCTGTAGTAATACAAAAAAGAAAAATAATGAGTGAACGGTATAGAACCCTTAATATAATATGTATAAGATTCATGCAATACAATTCAGTTTTGAGGCAGGTAAATAAACATAGTTTATAACGTTAACGAACAAAGAAACAAATAAATACATATTTGATAGGCAAATAAAATACGTGTAACTTGCGGATAAATTTTATTAGAACTATATGTATATATTATAATACTGTATTACATACAAGAAATGCACTTGTTGGAAACTTACAGAAGAGTAAAAAATATATTTCTTTCAAATGATTATTTCATATAGAGAGAGTTTCAAATCGGGGCCATGTTGTAACTACTGTACCAATAAAAAAATTAAAACATGACCGAAAAGTGTGTGGCATTGTACTAGATCTGTGTCGTATCATCATTTTTAGGTTTTCTTATTTTCCTTTTTTTTTTTTAATTTTTTGGTTTCTAGATTTTATAATTGAGACTCTTACGTATAATAATAATTCGGAAAACGTATAAGTCAGTCATCACGAATACGGACTGAAGTATTTATTATGCCAAAATCGTTTATCGTTAGGTTGCAATGGCGCGGCAGATCACGTTATGGTTTTTTTTTAGTTTATTTTTTCTTTACGAATAATATAACTTTTTCGGGTAATTAAGCGAAGAGAGTACGCTCCGCTCAAACGATTCACCATCAATATCATCAATACAATCATCTCGATAAAATAACCGTTTTGTCATTTTGTTCCGTTCGATTTGTGAACGACCGGATTTGCGATTAATCTGATCTGATCGGATCGGATCGGCCGACGCAAACTCGACCAATATGTAGAAAAAAATATAGCTAGTTATTTCAGTCTTTTGAGAAAAATATCACATTCCAAACAATGAATTGTACCATTGTATCAACGCGGACCGGCGGTTTCTCTCAATCACGAAAAGTTAAACATTATTCATTTCATTAATCATCTCTTTCTCTACCGTTACTCACTAAATATCACAGACGGATGTCATGCGCAGCGGCAGATAGCACCACGCGGGAAACGACCAAACGAGATAATACTTAACACTACATATATATATACTTAGTATACACGACCCTTGTGTGTAGAAATTTGTTTCAAGGACACGCGACGCGGCTACACAAGCAGTCATGTTATGATTCGCAATAGAACCGATAAAACGAAATTATAATATTAAACGTTGTTCAATTCTCAATTACGATTTACAATCCCTTTTCTCCATTTCAATACTTAATATAATCGAAGAGATTCATCGTATTTCTATTTATGTAGTTAAATGTGTATTTTTGTACTATTACGCTAAATTTAAGGGAACATAAATTATAATTAGGAAGCAAACCTTTGTGCACCGCTAAAATGTTATTCACGATTCCATTATTTCATCACTTAGTAACTAAGTTGACTTAGTAACGAGTTTAGTTCGATGATGTAGATAAGAGAAGAAAAATTTCAAATAATTTCGTGAATCTGAATAATAACATTTTAGAGTACGCAACAAGATTTCGCAAGAGAAAAGAGATAACGTATGAGTCCACTTGCACACCAATACAGGTACACCGTTAAAACATGATAAAACTCTCGCACAGGTTCATATCTATATATCAGTACATTGGCAAACTTCTATACAATGACAAATTCGTCTAATAAACTATCTTTAAGTTTTCTCATTTGATTTTTTCAAATTAACTAAATGAAAAAAAATTCTAACCAACGAAAAAAAAATCCATAAAATAATAGTAACAGTTTTACACCTAAAAAACGAAAATAAGTAGTTTTCTTTAATATATTTTTTTTCTCCCGTAATAACAATAATAATTAAACCTGTCTTCGATCGCGGACTAGAACAATAGCAGCCCGGTTTGGCTTTTAGGCTTTTATAGAAGTTTGGCTGTACCGTTCCGATAATATATAGGAATATGTTTTCTTCGTTAAACCATATTAGAGATATATTTATATTTATGACGATAACGAAATTAACAGGTTTAGCCCAATCTCCCCTTCTATATGTTTCGTGCATTTCAACAGCATACAGATACATGAAACTATACGACTACAACAGCTACACGGGCCGACGACGACGGGTCGTCCCCACGGACACACATTTATGTAGTTTACTAAAACGATCGACCGCAGACCGCAAGGCTCACTTTGTTTAATTACTTTTTGAATGCAACGGGGGGACCAGGGGAGTGGAAAAATGGATCGGTTTCTTGGATTCAAAACAGCAGTGGCCATAACGCGGCTTTTTTCAATTTTACTACGCCAAAAACCGGATTCATTCGAAGGGTGTCTCCGTAGAAATTTCAATTTTCGGCAAACAACCTTTGTCAGTAAGTTATAAGATAGCTCATGTACGAAAAATTAGTAATGATCAAAATTCCAAACATTAAAAAGTTTCTAAACAAAAATAAAGATATCGAATTTCCTCATTTTAATCAAGTTTTATCTCAAAAATATTTTTTACCAGATTAAAAATGTTAATAAAACGTCCTACATGAACCACCTTAAATCGTCACCCGAATTCTACAAGTCCACATCAAAGAATTATACAGAGAACCAGCATTAATACATTTATAAACATTAAGAAGCAAAGCTTTAAAGTATATTACCACCATCGTACGCGCCGAGCCCTCATTTAAAAAGAAATAAAATAATTATATTATTTAAAAAAAAAAAGAAAAAAACCAAACGCCCCTCTAAAAAAGAGGAGGACTCGACGTGTATCTCGCGTCACCTGCGCGTAATTAAACGCGACAAATGATTTTTGGAGAAAATCTCTTTTTCAGAAAAAACACGTCGAAACACTTACGAATGAGAGGTTGCTGCTACACGAGGCGGTAAACGGGGCCGCGAGTTACTGTTGAACGGCGGCTGTTGGCGGTTGGGTGTATGGCGGATAAGCCGCGTATTGGACCGGCCCTGAGTATTGGTTGTAGGGGCCCTGACCTTGTCCCAAAGATTGGTAACCGCACGGATTTGCGTTGTTGGGTAAACCGCGCGTTTGGAAGAACTTGTTGTTCATTATCGATTGTAAACCATCGTTGGTTTGAGGTGGTGGCATCATATATTGATGGGGCATTGTATACATTCCGGGATTATTTGGTGGTTGTGGTCCAGAATACGCTTGCCTTTGATTATAACGTTGGTTACTATAAGTGCGAGGTGCGTTACCTAAACAAAAAATATATTAAAAAATAATCTATTAATTAACCACTTAAGCGTTTTGCCAGAGTACGACTCAGGCACGAAGTTTGCTTCTATAGCGACTAATAGTGATGTAAAAAAAGTAACTATCCGTTACACGAGTACTCGTTACTCCGCGAGATCCGAAGTAACTGTTACCGTATCACATCGGTACCAGTTACATTGTTGGAAATAATTCACCAGCACACCCTATATAATCTGAACGCGTGAAGACAAATCCATAATATTTGCGGAGTATAAGGGTAGGCACACACGATCGATTATTCATCGACGAAACAGTTTAGTTGGATTGGTTTGAAATCGCGATGCATTATCAATTTATAACCGACTAAACTGTTTAGTTGTTCATAAATCGTGTTGTATGCACACACATATCGATTTCGAAACAACTTGTATTTATATTGTATTAAATATTGAATAATACCTGGAAATAATTCAAGTTTTTAAAATAATGTAATTGAATTATTTTAATATATAGTGTGGTAATTAATTATCGTACCCGACGTCATCATTGAAAGTATGCAACCATTATCACAATATTAGTATTGCAATACACGATTCGCGTATGATGCGTATTGCACTGTGATATTGGTTGCATACTTGCAATGATGACGTCGGGTACGATAATTAATTAACACACTGTATTTAGTGTAGTATATAATTAACTGCGGTAGCAAAACGGAAAATAATTTAATTTAATTTTTGATATAAATTCACTTATCATAAAATAATTGAGGGAAACTTGATTTATGTTATACTAGAGAAGACACTTCAACTCTCAGTGAACTTGACCTTGAGGTTGCGCGCGCAACCTAAGTTCCTAAAGACCTCAACTAAACTATCGACTGTGTGTGCGCTTCAATATGAAGCTGTGGCATTATTGCAGTTGTACGATAGTTGCACAACTTTTTAATCATAAGTGCACATCGACTCCTTTTGATTAAAAAATCGAGTTGATCTGCAGTTGTGTTGTGTGCGCAGCTACATTAAACTTAATACATTTATGTCCATCGACTAAACTATCGGCCGACTAAAAATCGACCGTGTGTGCCTACCCTAAAGGTTCACTGTAGACAAGTTTATGCAGCGAGTTTGGAATTTTTCTGCCGCGGCATTATTGACTGAACCGCCCTTCCAAGTGGAACATTCCGTCGCTATGGAAACCAAAGCGGGTTGGAGATACCGTTTTTTTTTAGTATAGTGTGATGGACCAGTAAGTTGTCGTACCCTGTGCGCAATGGAAGGGCGATCACGCTACTTAAGCGAGTTTGAGCGAGGAATGGTTGTGGGTATGCACATTGGAGGGTGTATCGTTTCGTGAAAATGCGCGTCGTCTCGAGCGGTCGTTACCGACATGGCGAGAATGGTCTGAGCTAGGACATACGCACCTTCAGCCGCGACCAGAACGACCACAGCACGCGTGGTTCGTGCCATTGTGCTCAGCCTTTTAGCGTCTCGTACGTCCTCTTCAAGGCAACTTGGAGCTGTTTGGCCAGCGGGAAGAGAATGCGCACTCACTACGCTAACTGTATGGCGGCGTTTGGTAAACAGTGGACTTCGTGCGTTACAGCGGATTCCACTAACACCCGAGCACCGCCGTATACGTCACGAGTGGGTCGACGCTAGACATTGGTTGGTTGCCGAGTGGAGGGACATTTTGTTTCCCGACGAATCAAGATTCGAATTGAGCACCGGTGACGTGCGAATTTTGGTTCGTCGGAGACGTGGTATCTATTCGAGCAGTGTGTGCAAGAACGCCCTATCTACCGCCAACCGAGTATTATGGTATGGGGTGCGATTACACATGGTGGACGTACAAGTCTACTACGTGTACAGCAGACAATGATGTGAAGATGCTACGGCCCGTTGTGCTTTCCTACGTTCGGCAGCTCCCACGTCTGCTATACATGCACGAGAACGCCCGAACGCACATTGTGCGGGTTGTACAGACCTTTGTGGAAGAGCACCGTATACGAATGCCTTCCTGGCCAGCTCGTTCTCCGGATCTGAATCAGATCGAACATGTTTGGGACATGATTAGTCGGAGACTTCAACGTTATCCGGCTTCCCCAGCTAACGTTGAGGAGCTATGAAAGCGAGTTGAGGCGGCATGGTTGGCCATTCCTCCCGCTACAATACAGCGACTTATCGACTCCATGCCACGTCGTGTAGCGATAGTACGAGCCGCTCAAGGGGAAGACTCTCGCTATTGATGTATTCCCTCCCAGCAGAGTTGCGCCGCTCTCCATGTGAGGGTAAGTTACACTACTTTAGTACTACTTCCATACCAAATTTCATTGTGCTAGACACACGCGTTCAGATTATATAGGCTGTGCCCGTGAATTATTTCCAACAGTGTATTTCAGATCTAAAAGTTACTTTTACAAAAAGGCCCTTCTGAAATGGATCCTCCATTTAAACAAAAGGCTATTAGAAGACAAAAGACTTTCTTAAAAATACAGGGTGATTCACACAAGAACCGACACAGAGCAGGGACATGTAGAGGACAATAAATTAAGATGATTTAACGCAACTTATCTCTATACTAAGTTGTACCCCTGAGGCGTTATAGACCTTCAAAGTTGGGTCTTAAATTTTTAAAATATTGAATATCTTCGTAATACATTAAGCTAGAAAAACCAAATTTGGTATACGTTATGGGTGTACCGAGATTATTAATTGATAGCAAGTTGAGACCAATTGAGGCATTTCAAAGGGTTGATTAAGGGTGATGGTCCCCTAAATTTTGACAGATTTTTTTAACCTTTTGGCGGATTTAATACATTACTACTTCATTTCATGTGGAATTTTATTCTAAAACTTTTCTTACTCTTATTAATTTTTAAAGGGAGATAATAGATCTAATTAATTTAGATTAGCAAGGACATTGTTTCTCCTGAAAGACGTGAAACATGTGCTGCTTCTAATAATGATCTAATATGGCACGATTTTGATAAACAGTGTGAAAGCGCGGCACCGATGAATCCAATCAGCATGGCTAGCATCGAGCTTAAAAGTTATTTGGAAGAAACACATCAGGACAGGAAACAAAATCCGTTATAATGGTGGAAAGATAGAGAAATACTTTATCCTAGATTAAGTAAACTTGCTAAAAAATACATGAGTGCCATTCCAACATCTGTACCATCTGAAAGTTAGCGTAACAAACACAATATAATATACGTACAGTATTTGTTTTCAAAAATAAGTGTAATACAAAATAAATTCATATAAGTATGTAGTCCAACTAAAACGAGTACTCTATCGCAAACAATTACTTGTAACGAGTACAAAGTAACGAATACTTTTTCTGAAAGTAACGGATAGTTACAACTACTAAAAAGTAACTAAACTTTACATCACTAGCGACTAACCATGTGTAACGCAGCAAAATTTGCTGCGCTGACACACCCATACTGGCGCACCTACTTGAGTTAGCGCGATGTATCAACTCAATTGCGCCATAATGCAGTTGCTAAGGGGCCCACTGGGGCCTAAGTGTGCGCGTAAAAATTATGCACTTCTCTACGCATACATACAGAGTGTTAAATAATTATCGTACCCGACGTCATCATTGCAAATATGCAACCAACATGACAATGCAATACACATCATTCGCAAATCGCGTATTGTAATACCAATACTGTGATATTGGTTGCATACTTGCAATGATGACGTAGGGTACGATAATTAATTAACACTCTGTACATACATACAACGTTGTTACTGATACACGTATGTATGTGTGGTACAGGGAGTGCGTATTCTATACGCGGCACGTAGGCCCCAACGGGCTCCTTGTACATCCTCCCTGAGGTCTGAGATTCCGCTTCCTGACCGACCCCCCTCTCACCGGGCGTGCTTGTGCACAGGCCCAGTGCGGGTTCGCCCCTGTCAGGTGCCGCTCAATGATACCACTCACTCGCTGACCCCTTCGAACCAAGGTGGAGCAAAGCTGCTTATCAACCCTTGGTCCGGGTACGCTTCCACGAGGTTTAGCATCAAAGGCGCTAACGCGCATTCAGCCATGTGTTCAAACCTCTTACACATATGGGTGATTACGACAACCAGAGGTGTTGCCGAGACCGACGGCTTAACGTCCCCGCCGAAGGACGGGTGGGCGGCTTGGTGAAAATGTTTAAACCGGGACATACATACAACGCAGTTGCTGATACATCACATCTATCGCTCGCCGGCGCCGCCTGCTGTCTCGTTCGGTTGTGCAGTGAGCAAACGAACAAACTCCTATGTATTATTGAGTATACGTTTTCCATGTTGTACATGTTGTTTAATTGAATGCATTAAAATATGATTCATTAGTTCATGTATTAAGTTCTAGCAAATACAAGTTTTCAAAAATTCTTGATTAATTAATTGCTGGTATTTTCACCTACAGATAATGTAAAACTTCCATAGCTATTTGACAGATCTGTCAGATTTTTAGCCCTGCAAACCCCGCAAAATGAAAATATGTTACGGCGGCGGTGTACACAACGTGAATATAAGGAGGACATCACACATTTTGTACAATATCGCCATTATATTTGCTCATTTGATGGACTATATAATAGGGTGATAAATCTGACAGATCTGTCGCATAGCTATTGAGGACTTTATAGATAGTTGAAAATACCAGTCCTAAGTCTTATGTCACCTGCGTCATAGCGGTTGTGCGTTAAACTGCTTTGCGTCTACGAGTGTGTTGCGCCTATCCCTAGTAAGCCACACCAGCGTGCGCTACTACGCCAACGATGGGGCAATTGAGTTCACTCATTTTAAAGTTGGGTACAACTCATCAGGGTTGTATCAGAGCATGTAACACATCTCTAATAGCGACATGCCCGAGTCTCTTTTGTTCAGTCAATAATGTTAAAAACTGATAAGAAAGTGAAAGTGATGATTCTGACTTAGAGAACGAAAATGTCGTTGAATTCACTGAATTTCTTCCCACAAATGTAGGAAATCCACCTCCTTGTTCTCCAAGGTTTTCTTTTAGCGACACAGCTGGTGTAAATTTCCAATTTGACGATGACGCTGAGGAATCAATTTTACGATATTTTGAATTTTTTGGAATAGCGAAATCCTGGACCTAATTACAACAGAGACTAACAGACATGTCATTCAACGTGGTACTGGAATTTCGCGAAGATTTTCACGTTTGAAGAAGTGGAAACCGATAGTTAATGGAGAATTGATGTTTTTTTTTGCTATTCAAATTTTCCAAGGTATTGTAAGTAAGCCAAAATGCGAATGGTATAAAAGTTATGTCCTGTAGGCGTTTTAGTTTATTGAAGAGTTGTAGACATTTTACAATGTAAGATATAATGCGGAAACGCATCCACATCCGAAACTAAATAAATTATGGTCTGTCATTATGAACATATAAATAAAAAATTTCCTTCTGCTATTACGCTCGAAAAAGATGTAACAATAGACGAGAATATTATGCTCTATAAGGGTAGATTGGGTTGGATCCAGTATATGCCTCTAAAAAGAGCCAGATTGAGCATCAAATCTTACATGTTATGCGAATCGAAATCGGGATATATTTGGTCGTTCATCATTTACACAGGAAAAGGAACAATAATTGATAATAATTATAAAGACCAATAAATGGGAACACAAACTGTTATGTCTTTGATGAGACCAATTTTGAACTAACAATTTTTATACTTCGCAGACACTTGTTACTATGAAATTGAACAGAAAAGATGTGCCAAAAGATTTGCAAAAGAAAAAGTTGAAAAAAGAAGAAATAGTGGCATACCAGAGAAAAAAATCTGTGTTACGAAATGGAAAGACAAAAAGGACGTTGGCTCCTTACAACAATTCACAATACAGAAATAATAGAAGTTGAAAGAAGTCAAGATTCTAAAAAACTTCCAAAATTTGATTACAACAGTTCTATGGGCTTTGTTGACAAAATCAATCATCAACATCTAACAAGTTATCCTATTATCAAAAAGCGCTGAAAGAAATATTATATAAAATGTTTCAACACCTTCTAGATCAGACAATTTGGATTTTTTTTCTATAATAATACCATAATTTCAGATTCCTAACTAATTTTTAAGACTTAAAGAAAGAGAAAATAAAATAAAATAAGGTGACAATTTTTAGACACCTTTTCTTACAAAAAATGAAACGCTGAAGTGGTTAACAATTTCATTTTTAACTCACCATAATTTCTTCCTGGCCCATTTTGATAGCCCCCGTTACCACCCATTTGTCCATACCCATAAGATGGATTCTGATACTGTTGATTATAAGCATTTTGGTAACCATTGTTATGATAACTCTTATTAAAACCCCTTGGATTATTATCCCCATTTCTCCCTCCCACACTATTTTGTGGAATATTATTTGGTCGTCCAGGATTAATTCTTTGTTGGGATGTATGTTCGAGAGCAACTTTATTATTATTAGTCCAAGTCTTATTTCTCATCGATCCATTACTGGAATTTGGAGACGCATTATCCCTGTTTCTATTTTGCCATCTGTTTCGACTGTTTTGACTGTTTCTTGCGGACATGGCAAGTTCTTGTAATTGCGGATTTAAAGCTTGTCCGGCTTCTTCTAAAACGGCGATCAAATCCTTTGCTTGTCGTTGATTCGCGGGGGTGAAATATGCGTATGCAGTACCAGCCTGCTGACACCTTCCAGTACGGCCAATTCGATGGACGTAATCTTCACTGGAGTTTGGATAATCGTAATTAACGACGTATTTAACGTCTTCAACATCGAGACCTCTAGCTGCCACATCAGTTGCAACTAAAATCCACGATTTACCACTGCGGAACTCATTTAATACGTAATCTCTTTCCGGTTGTGATTTATCCCCATGGATGCAAGTAGCTGCGTATCCTTCTCGTCTTATAGCTTTAGTAATATCATCAACTTTTTTCTTGGTTTCGACGAAAATTATGATTTTGTTATTGCGATCTGAGCCAATTTCCTTGAGGAGGTTCATTAATTTTCCTTCTTTTTCATGTTCTTCGCACACGTCGACTATTTGACGAATGTTGTGGTTTGCAGTTAAAGCTAATGAGCCAACATTTACCTATAAAGTATAATTTTTTGAAAAAAAAACACTTTAGATAATAAAATATACATTATTTATCCTAAACTTTCGATCTAAAATATTTTCACTATGGTACTTCCACTACATCGAAAGTAAGCCACAAAATCATTATTATATGGAATACTGTGGTTTTTATCACATATTAAAATTCTTTATACAGTATGTCCCCGAATCGAGTTACAAAGAGAAAAAAAATTTTTGTTACTGATTTTTCAAACTTATCTCAGCATAAATAATGCGTCGAATATGTTCAAACCACGAATGGTGGGGGATTTGCTCCAAAATAGGGCGAACTTAATTCAGAGTTATACCTTGTGGCTCTGACGACAGCCCCCCTTGTGTTAAAACTGCAAACTAAAATTAAATATACTTTTTAGGTTATAGTTGACAGATTTTTAGATCTAACAGATCAGCTGACTTTAGCTGGACCAATTCTATATTATAGGAGTAATAAAAATTATAATAATATTGATTAATATTATTATAATTAATTATTATCTAATATTGAGTTGTAAAAATGATGTGTAATAATGATTAATGGTNTCTTTTGCCCGAAAGGCTGAAGTCGGGAACACCTCTCAGAGAGTACAAAGTATTTGAATTATTTCATTTTGGTTGGTTCCTTTTTGCACAATACATTTGATTAATAGTGCTATTAGAAGTAAGTAATAATAGAACTATAATAGAAAGGCAGACACATTAATTCGCGTAGCATAGATGTTGCACACTACATATACAGGGTGTCACACAAAAAACGCCCCAAGCTGTAACTCTGTCATTTATATTCTGATCTTCATGAGCGAAGTATCAAATGAAATTTTTTGATGAATGCTATGATTCATGCTACAAATAAATTTTTTCCAAGGCCATCTTCAATTTCAGGCGATTATTAACTTTTGTTTTTCAAATTGCTCCATATATTTTTCTTCACGCCATTGGATAGAGATTCTTTTTCTAAATCTATTGATATACAACACATCCATTTTGAATGTAATTTTAGCAGAGAAAAGACACCTGTATATACGGGTTGTCACACAATAACGCCGCAAGCTGTAACTCTGTCATTTACTATCCGATCTTCATGAACGAGGTATCAAATGAAATGGTTTGATGAATGCTACGAGTCATGCTACAAATAAACTTTTTCCAATGACCTCTTCAATTTTAAGCGATTATCAACTTTTGATTTTCAAATTACGCGGTATTACGCGGTGCCATGGAAAAAATAACTCGCAAAACTGATAACAGTCATTAAATGTTATGTTATATCAATGCCCGAAGCAGTTGTAAATGATACTTATAAGTTGTTTTTTTATTTATTCCATGGCACACTACAGTATAACACAAGTAACTTTAAGAGAATGTTAGGAAACTATTTCAATGTTTTTCTGTGCTACAATTACAATTAATGTTGATGTGTTGTACATTAAAGGATTCAGAAAAAAATCTATCCAATAGCGTGAAGAAAAACATACCGCGCAATTTGAAAATCTAAAGTTGATAATCGTTTGAAATTGAAGAGGGCGTTGGAAAAAGTTTATTTGTACCATGAATCATAATAATCATCAAACCTTTTCATTTGATATTTCGCTCATGAAAATCGGAATGTAAATGACAGAGTTACAGCTTGCGGCATTTTTGTGTGACAATCTGTATATACAGGTGTCGTTTTTCTGCTAAAATTACATTTAAAATGGATATATTGTACATCAATGGATCCAGAAAAACAATCTCTATCCAATGACGTGAAGAAAAATATACGCAGCAATTTGAAAAACAAAAGTGAATAATTGTTTGAAATTGAAGATGGCGTTGGAAAAAATTTATTTGTAGCATGAATCATAATATTCATCAAACCATTTCGTTTGATGCCTCGCTCATGAAAATCGGAATGTAAATAACAGAATTACAGGTTGGGGCGTTTTTTGTGTGACCCTGTATAATAATTAGACTTTTTTAAATTGAAAATTTTTCAAGTTCAATTTATGATATGTGACCATAGAAACCATAAAAGTTACAACTTATGTTGGTGAGATTAAGTGTTTTCATGCGATGTTAACCGTGAAAGAGAGAATTTATTTAGTACTGTGCTATGGAGCTAGTGAATCATATTTTCGTGTAGTTATACAAAAATTCCAGTAAAAATATCTCATGTTGGGGCTCGCAAACTTATGAAAGAATTTTTAGAAACAGGTTCTGTATTATCCATAAAGAGGCAGGCAAAGAGACTAAATGAGGAAGACGCTGCTTTTCAGATAGCTTTTCAACAAATGACATTGTTTGTTCCCAGCATTGTCGTTATTGGAGCGATGTAAATCCAATTACCATTAAATTTTATACGGTCAATGTACTTTCAGCAAGACAGTTGCCCAGCTTATCATTCACACATTGCGCCAAGTGGTTAAATTTACAATTTCGTCAAAAGTGAATTGAACGAAATGGTCCTATTTGATGGCCAGCACATAGTCCTGATCTTACAATTATGGATTTTTATTTTTGGGGACGATTGAAACAAATTGTTTACAGTGAACCATTACAAGATGATGCAGAACTATTAAAACTAAGAATAATTAATGCGATAGAATCTCTACCACTGGCAGAAATTCGTAATTCTTATAAAGAATTTAGAACTCGTCTTCAAATGCGTGCCGAATTAGGAGAGCATTTGTTTGAATGGGGATTTGTTCACTTACAAATAAATAATATTTATTACTTACATAGTGTGTTATTACTATTACATAAATTTATATTTAATAGTATATTATTCAACAAGCGTATAATGGCGGCTGTTACCCATGAAGAAAAAGTTGCAAGTTGTAATCTGAATGGGTAACATCCATTATACGCAAGTTGAATACTATACTTTATCTACAACTATTTAATTTTGAAAAAAAAATAAAAAAAAAGGAAAAAAAAATAAACTTGATAGACATTTCAGACATAACCTCAATATAAGAAAGCTGTCATTTCTGTTAATATTTTATTTTTTGATTAGTAGGCAGTGTCAGAAGTGTGGAATAATGGCCTCATTATTCAACACTTTGTCTGTCATGGGTAATGAGTGTCATTACCCGTCAAAAATCAATTGTATAACGAATAGATAATTCAATAGTTGTAGATAAAA